GATAGATACGCAAAGTGCCTCATTTCTGTGCAAGCAGGAATTCACTGGTAGAGGAGTAGAGGGGAATGAAAGGTGCTTGTCCCTCTTCTGATAAGTCTGTGTACTCGTTCTGAGGACAAACAATTCCTGAAGCATCTGTGTATAACCCCTGCACCAGGTTACTTGGCTGAAATAGTGAAGGGACTGAATCATGTCCCTGTGAGCTGCAGTGAGAAAATCCTTTTCTGAAGGAGAGGGAAGAGCTTCTGCTTGTAAATAGAGCCAAGCTTGAATCAGGATCAGGGGTGTAAAACATACAGATGTGACTCTGAACTTTATTTGCTTGCTTCCATTTCTAATTATAATGCTGTATTTTCTGCTTACTAATTTCTCATAAAGGCTGTGATGCAGCAGAACTAGTAATATATGTTCCTTTTTTTTTTTCGTTTTGTTTGCAACAGTGAGTTAGCAGGCTGAAAGGAACGAACATTGAAACTACTGTAAGTTTAGTAGGTCAAGGAAACTTGAGGATTGAACCCAGTGGCCTAGTTTATTGCAGTCATGACAGAAACTGTACTGTTTGTACAGGAGGACTTTTATTCTTCAGAGGCACAGAAGGTTGCAGTTTAATTGCAATTAACTGTTCCCCCCCCTCCCCTTCTTGACAAAGGCAGCTACCTCAGGTCACAGAAGTAGAAGCCACAATTAATGTATGTGGTTAAGAAATGTAAAATAAAACACACCTAAGCTTTTGTTTTGATTACGGTGACAATAAAAATTTAGTTTGGGAGGAACATATTATAATAATGTACATCAAATCTTGCATATTCAAAGAAATTGATTTTGTATTAAATTCTAGCACTACATTGCTGTGTTATTTTCAAATTGAAGAGAATTCAACAGGATTTTTTTTTTTTCATGTAAATAAGTACTCTGAAGAAATACCAGATTCATAAAGTGATCAGTGATTAGCTGTGGAATTTTACTTACCTGAAGAGTAACAAATAATGTACAGCATTGTTTGTTATACTGGTGAACCAATTCATCAATTACTTAACACTAATTGAATGAATGCAAAATGTAACTGAAAATAATATTATAAGTGTTGTCCCTTTAAATTCTAGTGGTTAAGTGTAGTAGATGTTTTAAGTTACAGCTTGCAAAGATCCTGATTAATCGGGTGGCAGATTCTTATCAGACATCTATTTACAGTGTCTCCATTACCTCAGGATCCAAAAACAAACCGTGTCCAGAGCATGCTTCCCCATTCCCCAAGCTGCAGGGCCTTCCTAAATGACTATAATCATGAAAACTATTTCTTTTTAAAGCTAATAAATAGTACGGAGCATTTTGTCGTGCCTTTGATGCAGACCTGACAGCCCTAATGCGTTGGGCAGTGAGCTGCAGCTTTGAGACCCTAACACAGATATGGGTCTGGAAAAGGCTGTTTTGCAGCCTGCCCACTGCATTCTTGCTATGTTGCATTTGCTACCCCTACACTTGCCAGCTCCACTGTGTGCACAGTCGGCTGGAGGTAGCAGGGATGCATCGGACTTGTTATACTTGTGCAGATAAGCAGTGCACACACAGGAGAGCTGTCATGACATAGCGGGAAATATTTGTAGGTCTGTCGGTGCAACCTGTGGCTTATGAAAAGCTGTTTTGCCACTCAGTATGTGAGTTCTGGACAGTGAAAGTGTTAAGCAGATTTTAGACCCTTCTTCACATATACTTTTGAAGCTGGTCACCAGAGCTCTGTAAACTGAAGAACCTGGGAATGTTTGACAGTTTCCGGACGTGGGAGTATGTCCTGCCAAATCATCACTGCTTGTCAGGGCTAAATCTGTGCATGACCCAGGTCCTCTCCCATTTTCTTCCTGACATATGCAGGCACGTATGTTTGTGGAATCTATGACAAATACCTAGTTTGGGCAACTGTAAGATGAGAACAAGGAGGAGAGCTGTGAAGAGCATTGGCAGTCTGTCAGTATCGTCAAAAACGTAGGACCTCTGTTGTCCCAACCACATGCTCAAACTAGAAATGTTACCTAAAGTCACTGAGTGTTGCAGGGAGGAAGCTCACATGCTTATGTAATCTGCATCATTTCTTCTGTGGTGGAACCCATGTTACCGTGTCTTCCCAGACAGCATGCTACTCTTGGGCCACATAGGATACGTGGTCTTAAAGGTCTTTTCCAACCTAAATGATTCTATGATTCTGTGAAATGCAGATGAGGCTCTGGGATAGTTTGTCAAGCTTTCCCTCTTCGTAGTCTTGAAATTTGCCTAGGGTTGGAGCTAGTTTTTGCATGGCAATGGCCATTTTATTTTGTGCTGACGAGATCTGCAGCCCTATGCAGAGGAAAAGCAAACAGTGGCCTAAAGTGGTGGAGGATGACAAATTGTAGCCTTGCTTCTTAATTTGCCTGGTAAGAGGAGCTGACTACTGTCAAAGTCATTGAGGAGGGGAATGGTTTGGTGAGACAGCTGCTGGTGGGAAGTGAGGGAAGCTCTGTGCCATGACATGCAATTTTGCCATCCTCTCTGGTGTTCCCCAGCAGCAAGAGAAGCAGCACCCTGTTTTCCAGGGCTGCCTCTGGCTCTCCTCATCTCTGCCTCGTTGAAAACACAGAGTTTGCATGACCCCTCCACAGATTATGTGGATTTAGGATGTGACAAAACTCCATATTCTGATGTCTTCTCAGAAAACTCCTCACTGTAGAAAAAACTGTTGTGCCCAAAACTGTAGGTTCACTAAGCCTATAAATTTGAGATTGGTTATGGAGTAAGTTATGCTTTTGTATTTTAAAGAAAGACAACTATGGGAAAGTGAGTAACATTCTGTAGTTATAAGAGAGGCTAAAAACCCCATAAAAATAGTGAAATACAGGATAATGTTTGCCTTTCAGGATTACAGCTTGTGCCATGACCATGAATAAATACGTGGAAGAAAATGTTTCTCAAAAATCCTATACAACAATAAAGTATTTCATGAAGATGCTGAGCAGTGTCAGCGAAACCTTAATCTTCATCTTCATGGGAGTGTCCACAGTTGGGAAGAACCATGAGTGGAACTGGGCCTTCGTTAGCTTCACCCTCCTTTTCTGTTTAATCTGGAGGGCACTGGGTAAGCAAGTCGGTGCATCAGTATTATTTTCAAGTGAAACTTTTTATGTCTTCTTAAGTAGAAGATACCAAAAATCAGACAGAGTCCCATCAGCTTGGAGAATGGTCTTCTTATCTGTAATGTGTCCTAGATTGCAGGGTCAACTTCCACCTTCCCCAAAAACAGAACCCAAAAATCAGTTTGGTCCTGACCCTGCCCATCTAAAGTCAGAGGCAGTTTGCTGCATTTGTACATGCATTAAGTACATGTACTTAAATACAGTGTATGTATTTAAGTAAATATTTATTTTAAAATAAGCAAATTTGACTTAAAACTATTAGCAGTTGTACAGCAATTAAGGCTCATAGGTCTTAAACCTGCCCCTCACCCCAGTTTCATCTGTAATAGTCTTGATTCAGTCCCTCCATATGTCAAGGCAGCTCATGCTCTGATCTGCCTTTGCACCCTTACTTCCAGCTCTCAAGTGTCCCTTCAGTGCAGAAGTCTGGGTTATTTTCCCTCCTGCACGTGCAACCCCACGATACCTTATGCTGAAAAGCAGCTAAGCAGCCTGACTGCTCCCGTAGCTTCTGGCCCCCAAGCTTGCTCCCTTCACCTCTCTTTATACCTTTGCTCCATTCCACCACAAACCTGGAGTCTTTGACTTCAGTACATCAACATACTCTGCCATCTTTTCCCTCCATCCCTAGTCCTGCATCCTTTTTGTCTGTGCAAGGAAAATCAAGTAAGTGAATAGAAGTTTGCCGGGTTCAAAGCACAGGCTGATGGAGGTGACAAGCCAAAGTGTTCAAAAACACCTCAAATCCTATTAAAAAAAAAAAAAAAGAGTCTTGGTCTATACTGACACAGAGAATTATTGCTATTCTAGAGGTGCAGAGTCTAGCAGATAGCTGTCTTGTGGAGATTAATTAGCTCCTTCAGGTCCTAAATCCAGCCGACCAAAGGTGGTTAGCTCACTATATATGTTTAAGATACTGCTCTTTAGGCATTTTAGATTTTTCTTCTGTGGTGTTTTCAAGCTGTTAAGTAATATTTCATTTCTTCAATAATATATAGGTAAGAAGCAAATAAAGTGTTTTAAAACAAATATTAGCATTGTGGAGGTTTTCTGTGTAACTTAATTTACTTTTCTGGCTTGTTGTTTGTTTGGTTTTTTTTTCCTCAGGTGTTTTTGTTCTGACTCAGATCATCAATGTTTTCCGAACAATTCCTCTCACTTTTAAGGACCAATTTATTATTGCCTATGGAGGCCTCCGAGGAGCTATTTGTTTTTCACTTGTATTTCTTCTTCCTCCTGCTGTGTTTCCCAGGAAGAAATTGTTCATCACTGCTGTTATTGTGGTGATATTCTTTACCGTTTTCATTCAGGTAATGCCTTTCCTCTAATGGAATTCTTTCTTGGACATTGTAAATAAGCAGTGGGTAAAAAAGCAAACGCCCTAACATACTGGAAGGAACATACTTGAAGGTACTCTCTGTGGTCATAGTTTAAAAGAAAATACTATGCAGACCACTGACAGGTAACAAAAGAATGCCAGATATTAAGTACTTGTGCTAACATGTAAGAAGCATTAAGCATTTAAGACTTAGTGAGGTTGGAGTAGAGATAAAAGATAATCTGGGTACAGCTCCAGCACTAATTCCTTGTTAGAATATTTAAAGTTGTGCATTTCTCAGGAATTTGAGTTGGATATGGTGCACAGCGAGCAGGGGATTGAAGACAGGGCACTGAGAGGTGAACTGGAGTGTTTGAGTCTAGGTGTTAGGCAGTGATGCTGCAAAACAGCTGGACACCCATCCAGAAGTACCAGGTGTGCAGAAGAATGTGAAGAGCTTGTCTCTGCTGTCAACCTGGCCACGAAGACCTGGTCAAGAGTGACCAAGAGAGAGGGAAATGATTGAAACCAGCAAAAAAAATTTAGAGGAGGCAAAACATCTCAAATAAACATGTCATGGTGGTCATTATCCAGAGAGGTGGGAGTGATGTGACGGGCTAGTACATGGAATTGCATGTACTATGGGAAAATGCATGTACTGTGGGAAAAAAATTTTTAGCCTTCTACATGGATAAAGGTGCCATGGGAAGTATCTGTGCTCATGCTTGGGAAAGGGGAAAAGGTGGCTGGAGCAGCTGGAAATCAGTTGACCTTAGCATGTAAGCTGTGAAAATTGATTTTGGAGGATAGAATAATTTAAAATCTAGACATAAATGGAATGTGTTATGAAATGCAACATGGTTTACCAAAGAGAAGCCTGATATCATTCTTTAATAAGGCAGTTTCCAGAGTAATCTCATCCAACTTGACTCCTGTAAAATCTTTGGGGGAAGGGGCTGCACAGGAGATTGGTAGCTTAACTACTCATTAAACTGAAGTTTAGATTGACATTAGGATAATTGTAAAGTGAGTGAAGAAAGGGCTGACAGTTTCTCCTATAAGGAGAAGGAGAAACACATGGTTCTTTGCATCAGAAAGACCTCGGGGGGTCTGTAGTCCAACCCTGTGCCCAAAACAAGGCCACCTTCAAAGCTAAATCATGTGCTCAGGGCTGTGTCAAGTTGAGTTCTGAGTATCTCTATGGTTGGAGATTCCCCAGCCTCTCTGGGCATCTGTTCTAGCATTCAACCTGGGTTCCTGGGAAAGTTTAGTTTAATATTCTCATTACTGATGATAGCACATGAACACAGGAATTTTTTGTTGCTCGTTTCTTGATTACAGGCTTTGGAAAGTGTTCTTAGGGTGCCAGTGAGATGGGGTATTATGTAGAAAGAAGAGAATAACTGCAAGATAATATGATAGAAACAGAATAAAATTCAACAGTAGTAAGTGCAATCATCTTGCTAGGCTTTCTTACTAGGGATTTCTCTTATGAAATAAGAACCTTTCATTTGGAAAAAAACAGAAAGGGAAAAAACCCACAAGTGTACTAGTTGATAATGGGGTAGAGTTTAAGCCACTGATACCATGGGGATAGAAGAAAGGCATATCTGATCTTAAGACCTATTGAGACAGGTATTTCCATCAGAGAATAGTGTCATGTTGTAGAGTGATCACAGGACTGGTAGGCCTGTCATGTGAAAGGAGAACAGGATGCCTTAGCCATAGCAAAATGAAGAAGAGGGAATATAATTAATGTTTATATGAGGGAGTGAACACCCGAGGAGGGACATTGTTTAAAAAGACAAATGTTGGCACAAGAACAAAGTGGTACAAAGTGACCATGATGCAATTAAGAAGCAGCTTTCTAATTACCGTGAACAATGAAGTTCAGGATGAGTGTTCCAGTATGAGCAATGGGGCAAAGAAACCTAACTACTTTTAAGATAAAGCTGGATTCATTTACAAGAAGAAATATGTGACCTGGTTGTCTGGGACAGTAGGGACTGATTTCAACACCGTGAGTGTTTCATTCCCCTCTCCTGTGCCAGTGCACCTATACAAATAAACAAATTATGTCAATTCTTCCACAAATAATTATTTCAAACCTTTATATCATTCTGGGATAGCCAAAACATTCTGTTCTTTCTCTGAGAATAGTCAGGCACAGGCATAGATTTACAAAAAGCCTTAGCGTCATAATCTTGAATAGAAATTTTAGTGCTACCATTGACACATCTTTGAGTACCTGTTTTGGAAGTAGTCACTAAAATGGGAGTTGTTATGCTTGTTTTGGAATGATGTGGAATCCATTTATTAATTCAGTGAGGGTTTTTCTAATGCGTAACAGAACTGAACAAGAAATCCAACAAACCAAGTTTAAAAATACTCCGGATGCGGTAAGCGATGTATTCTTCATGGGATTTGCCAGGTTGCCCCTCTTGGACCTCTTAGCTTGAGGGAGCCCCTTCCTTCTGTTGCATTAGTGGAGTCTGTGATGCGACAAGGACTTCCTAGCTACGTGCAATACCTGCTGATGACAAGCTGTTGTAATTACTGTATTAGGCTGGATTTTGGGGTTAGGAAGGTGAAAAAGTAACCAGAGCTAAAAAGCTATCTACAGTCATTTTCAGTGCTCTGGCAGAGATGGAAAAGACTGCAAGGCTTTTTCTTTTTTTTTATTTTCTTTTTTCTTTATGTTTATGGAAAGAACATTTTTTTCTTTTTACAGGGAATAACAATTCGCCCACTGGTGGAGTTTCTTGATGTCAAAAGGTCAAACAAAAAGCAGCCTGCTGTCAGTGAAGAAATTTATAACAGGGTACGTTGCAGTGTCATGGATGAAACCCTCATACAGATGAAATTCCAGGTGTCTTTCAGTAAGACAAGGGTTCAGTATACAGTATTACAGAGAAGCACATGCTCTTTTAGGTTTGCTAGCTGTTATAAGCACAATAACTGTAAAGCTTATATTTAACTTTTGACAATTACTAAAATTAGCACTATTACATACCAGTTTTTGAATCTTCACTTTCTTAATTGTTCACTTCTTGAAATAAATTAAATTTCTGTAGTTTGTTTCACATTATGAGACACATGTTGCTTTAGAAATTTGTTACATTAGGAAACATTTGCCGAGGCAATTATATTACATTGCATTTGGGTTAGTTTAATTAAACAAATGCAAACTCCTAATGCTGTTAAACTTACTTAACTCTCCCATTATCAGCTTCTTTATGGATTTGTATTTGATATGTGTACATCTCCAATTATTCAAGTTTATTAGCCATGTATATTCTTGAATGTATGTCTCCTTGCAGCATACCTATGGCAGGTGGCTTGGACTTCCAAAAATGAGGAATAATAAGGGCTGCATTCAGCAAAGAAGTCAATCTAGGCGTCTAAAAGTCTGTCCTTTTAGAGCTTATACTTTGAACCTATGTACCAGGATTTCCCCCTCAGTTTAAAAGACCCTACTATTAGCACTTGCATTACAAGCTGCCTCTGGGGATAAAGTGAGATCTTAGCTGAACCGATTCACTCTTTTGTAATTCATAATAGACTGAGGAACAATGTTCTTTCTAATATTAGGTGATGAGGATGCTTTGAGGTGAGGTTAGACCATGATTCCGTAAAATAGGAACTCAGTGCCTGATGCTGGGTATCAGGTCCCAAGGGGCCAGTGCTGATGTGGGGAGCCGCTGCCCATTCAAGCTGTCTCCTCCACAAAAGTCATACCTGGTTCACTGTCAGGCCTGGGAAAGTCCCTGGAGAGGCCCTAGGCATAGCCTTGAGGGGTTAGGGAACTTAAAAGAAATAAAAATATGGGAAAAACCTTCAGATTCAGGCAGAAGCTCAGCAAGATCGACATTGGGGATATTTACAGCTCACTTCTGTCCTTTTGGGGCTGTGAGCTAAAGGAAGCTCCAGGGACAAAATCCCTGAGTCCGTCTCTGAGTTTGCTTAGACTGCATTTAGTTAAACTGAAGCATCGTCCGGAATTCTGACCAGGTGCTTGTTTTGAAATAAGTTAGAAACTAATAATGTCTGAGGGCAAGCCAAGTGGCATTTATAAGTTTATCTAATGAACCAATGTTTCCCTTTAGTTCTTTGACCATGTGAAGACTGGAATTGAAGATGTGTGTGGACACTGGGGTCACAACTTTTGGAGAGATAAGTAAGAATGACATTTAACCTCTTTCTTACACAAGAGAGGCTGAACTGGCTCAGCAGCAGCAAATGAAGGCTGTTGGGCATCATATTTCATTTTCAGCATTTTATTCTTGAAAGTGGATGGTTGTTTTTAGAACATGTGGGTTACAAAGGGAAAGCAGCAAAACAATGTCTTTTACTAACCCACAAGCAAGTAGAACAAAATCTCCAGCTGGGAAGAAAGGCAGCCCTCTGATCCCAGGGTGAAGTATGGCACCTCCTGAGGGTGTGTGTCCTTTCCCTGTTTCAGACTGTTTCAGAACATTTCCTATATTTCTGTGGAGCCTTTCATCCCATCCGGCTTTCTTCCGACAAATTGTATGTCTTTGCAGTGTTAAGTGAGGGGTTAGTTTCCTGTTTGATGGGAAACATACAAAAGCTTTGGGACTTTCTCTAGAAAGATAAAGGCAGTAGCTGGCATGAAGTACATGAGACATGCTAATGGCAGGCGGTTCCACAGTTCTTGATGGTATTATTTAAGACTTAGTGTCAGTTAAGAAGATTACTACTGGCAATACCTGAATAATTCATGTTTCATTTTTATTGCTGAATCATCATGATCATTGGTTTGGATCTAACTCCCTTTTCTCAGGAACACGCTCTTTTACACCCAAATCTTTTAGACCCAAAGCGTGGGCATTACTCACCCACCTTCTAGTCCCTGCTCCAACGAGAATTAAGTGTTTTATAGAAAAAGAAGTAGCACCATCAGGAAGGGTGGAGAAGAGCCCTCTCCAAATGGCTTGAGGGCAGCGCACTGAGGACACTCCTGGCAGATGCATGACATGGGTACAACTTTTCTTTACTCAGCCTGATTCTCCTTCAGTCTGTGTGAAATCTTTTATGAACAGGTTACGGAGCAAAGGAGTGTCCCACCTCTTCATGACCTTCAGACCCCAATTCAAGAATAATTTCAGAATGGCCAGAGGGCAAAATACTTTCTGACAAACAAAATCACCCCAGCTGTAATGAATGTTTTTTCTCTAAGCATCCAAGAGGGTTGCAGTTGCTTTGGAGAAAGGGAGAACTTCCAAAGTTTTACAAGATCAGGCTAAAATTTCAAAGAAAAAGCAGTGATGCAAATTTAGACCTTGTATTTGTTATTACAGTAAATATTTAATGTTCTTTGTCTCAAAGAAAATGGAGAATTAAAAACATTATCTAATAACACAGAACACCTGAAAGTTAACTAGGGAGACTGTCCATTAATGTATTAACCAAAACACAGGTTAAGACTATCTAACTTAAGCAAAGATGAATTTGATGTTACTCAGCCATAGGTTGTTAATATGAACAGACACATTCCCAGGTAAGAAACGCCTTCACAATTGCATTAGCTACCATATATTGGCTTTCCTTAATATGCACGTAAAAATTAAGTGGATGGGTTGGTTTGTCTCACATACAGGTTTAAAAAGTTTGACAATAAATACCTGCGAAGACTTCTAATCCGGGAGAACCAGCCCAAATCCAGCATTGTTTCTTTATACAAGAAGCTGGAAATCAAACATGCCATTGAAATGGCAGAGAGTGGAATGATAAGCAAGGTCCCATCTTCGGTGTCTCTCAGGTAAGCAAGCAATGCCAGCATGGCCAAGCATTTCGGCTGGGTCATGTAATGTATTTCACAGCCCAGTCTGTAGGCAGGATAATTACTTTAACTTGGGACACTTCGTGTCCAAACGTCACCTGAAGATTAAGCGGTTATGAAACAAGAGCATTTTTCCTGCAGCTCACACATGGAGCGCTTGGTGAACTGTGCTTGTCTGGAGTATAATTTTACAAGGGCAACTGCTCACGGGAACATTGATTTGCCATTTAGATCGGAGCTGGATTTGAACCAGTGCCTGCCCATCTGCTGTGAATAGCTACGAGGGAAGCCTGAGGGACATTTTGAAATGTAGCTTATCAAATTTACAATTTAATGTAATTTTTATCAAATTTTGGAGGCTGAGTTTTCAGCCTTACTACTGACTTAAATGAGATCAAGATTTCATTCTTACATGTTATGTTTTCACCTGTTCCTCGGTTGCTTTGAAATGTTGTTTCCAACTCTTAACAAAGGAAATAGGTCAAATGTAATTCTCAATCATAAAAATAAAATTCCTCCTCTCTCTCTCCCCTTTTCCTCTATTTTTCTTTGTTTATCCTGCCACAGTGAATATCATGAAGGAAAGATAAAGCCTCTTTCTCCCACTGAAATGGAAAATATGCGGGAAATATTAACGAAGAATCTCTACCAAATACGACATAGAGTAAGGATGAAGTTTTGCATACTTAAATATCCCACTATTCTTTGAATATACGGATTACTTTCCTGATACATCTTTGTGCTAGTACATCTTCTGTACCATAACAAATATTTAACACTGTTATTTACTTCTATTACCTATGAATCCATGTAATTTCGTAGGTACAGAAACATATTCATAATCCTTTATGTAAATAGCTTACTTGATATTATACTATTGATACAGCTTAATGGTTTTGTCATATTACGTGCAATCTACTTACATTATTTAAGGAGGATCATAAGTGCAATTCAACGCAACACTGTCTACTTATATCAGTATTTTGGTCACTTCCTGATATGGGATTAGATTTCCCATTTGCCTCCAGTGGTGAAGTTGTTTGTATTAAGAGCAGAGGTGATGAGCTGGAAAAATAGTGAAATAAAAGCAAAAGGACATTTCACGTTTATCCTCCTGGGGCTAAAGAGTTTGAATGCCTGAGCCCTTGGAAAACATTCAAAAGTGGAGTGAGCTTCAGCTTGCTGGAGTTAAAAATGACTTCCCCTTAGGTGACTCATCGCTTTCAAAAGTGCATCCGCTACTGACATATTGAATGACCTAGTGCAATGTGGGGGTGAACACTGTATAAGCCAGCTTTTTCCTATTTCTCTTTCATTATACATATCATCAGGTTAAAAAAAAGGTGACAAACAGAAAAAGGTGCTTATGAAGGAGATGACTAAAAAAAATACTGGCATAATCACTGTTCTTGCTCTTAATCATCTGCAGTATGACTTTCTTCACAAGGATTTATGATGCTTATTAAAACATTAAAACAAAAAGCCTGTTTTGCACTGTGTACATAGTTCAATGCATTTGACATTATGCTTTTCAGAGTGTGACCACTGTTTTTATGTTTCAGACAATGTCATATAACCGACATAGCCTGGCTGCAGATGCAAATGAAAAGCAGGCCAAAGAAATCCTGATCCGTCGCCGGCATAGCCTTAGGGAGAGCTTGAGGAAAACGAACAGCCTGTCAAGAGAAAGACCGGTACTTGTATTTTGGTTGTTTTATAAAAAGCAGTTCTTTGTAGTTAAATGTTATGCAGAAAAAAAATCTTCTGAAATGCAGAAAATATAAATCCTGGATTTGGAAGACAACTGCATGTATAATGTCACACTTACTTACACTTTGAGTTGCACACATGGACTCCTTGTTGACCCTCTCAGCAAAGCTTCAGTTTTGTAGAACGTGATGTAGGAGTGGGATCTGCTGACATAATTTTAGCTCAGAGATGCTGAACTAGCTCTGTACTCAGTGTACTTCTAAGGTATGGTCAGTATTTTCTATTGGTATTTCGATGAAGAGTGGATGATCAAGGTCAAAAATTACTTTGAGATACACAAAACTACTTAAAGTACGCTCTAAAATACAGGAAAGAGAACTTTCAATTGAGTCAGTCAGAATGAGCTTTTCATTTGAAAAATGTTGTGGGATCTTTCATAAAATGTATTCAGGACTTCAGGTTTTGACACAGAATAGGAAAACCCCTTCTACCTACAAGGAATGGTGTTGCATGGTAATATTTGGCTTTGTGAGACAATTGTGCAATACCTTCACTGTGAACTTCAGACCATATTTGAGTGGAGCGCACTGATTCAGCAGAGAAGCAGATTCCCCATATCATCTTCCATTTTAGGTATCAGGGAAATTAACCACCCTATGAATATGTATTTTCCTGTTACAGAGATAATTAGTGACTGTTGTCTTCATTGATACAGTTGCCCTTCAGCGGCTGAGGCTGGAATGATATATCCAGTAAGCGCTGTATCTCATTTTTGATCATTATCAGGGCTACTATGGTGTTAATTGTGACAATAAATCTGTTCCTGAATTATTTTTTTCCTCTCAACCTCAGTTACATACTTTGTCTTTGTCATATGAATAAATGATTTACTAGGTGGAGTAATGAAGAGACTCAGCAGGATTGAGACATTTTGGGGGCAGGGAGACAAACAGGGTATCCATCAGCTTTTTAAAAGTAATTTTAAAAGTAATTTTAAAAGTAATCATCCTTGTGTAAATCCACCACAGAGGGAAGCAGACTGGTCCTGAGCAGCACAACAATATCCAAAGTGGAAAAATCTCTCATGGAAAAGAACTTTCCTTTCGGGTTCCCATTGAATGTGCAACAATGAATGGTACAAGCTGAGGAGAGCTGGTAGACTGTAAAGGTTTTTAAAAATCTTTGTAAGAAAGAATGCCCTTGAGAAACTTTTGGCTTTAAAAAAAAAAGCAGTCTGCCCTGGAAAGTACCTCTTATGTTCCAGGAAGTATGAGGCGTGCTCTGCTTCCACGGCCTTTAGAGCTTAGTCTGGGAAAAACAAGGGTTTTATTGCCTGAACTGGTAAATGATCATGCTGGCACCTAACTTCCCCATCAACACCAGTGTGACTAGTCAACTGTAGAAAGTCATTTATATGTATAAAGTGCTCGCAGGATCAGAATACAAATTTATGCCTGAGCTTCAGTTTCAACCTGATTTTTGCAGCTGACTAATAAAAAGTTGCAAACTGGAGCTGCATGAAGTGATGCCATGTTTGCAACGTTTGCTTCCTTAGGAAGATTGGTACAGGTAGGGTTGAGGTTAGAATCATAGAATCATAGAATGGTTTGGGTTGGAAAGGACCTTAAGATCATCTAGTTCCAACCCCCCTGCCAAGGCAGGGACACCTTGCACTAAACCAAGTCACCCAAGGCTCTGTCCAACCTGACCTTGAACACTGCCAGGGTTGGAGCATTCACAACTTCCTTGGGCAACCTATTCCAGTGCCTCACCGCCCTCACTGTAAGGAACTTCTTCCTTATATCTAACGTGAACTTCCCCTGTTTAAGTTTGAAGCCATTACCCCTTCTCCTACCACTACAGTCCCTAGTGAAGAGTCCCTCCAGAGCATCCTTGTTAGGCCCCCTTCAGATACTGGAAGGCTGCTATGAGGTCTCCACGCAGCCTTCTCTTTTCCAGGCTGAATAGCCCCAACTTTCTTGGCCTGTCTTCATACAGGAGGTGCTCCAGCCCCCTTATCATCCTCGTGGCCCTTGTCTGGATTTGCTCCAACACCTCCATGACCTTTTTATGTTGAGGACACCAGAACTGTAAACAATACTCCAAGTGAGGTCTCACAAGAGCAGAGTAGAGGGGCAGGTTAGAGAGCATAGATTTATTAACTTTGATCTGAGAGGGCATATCAGTAGTCTTTCCTTTGATTAAGCTGCTAGAGTTTATTCGGTTTTTACCTTAGTAAGCACAGATGTCAACCAGCAATCAGTGTTAACTTGAGCGTGTAGTAAAGGATCACATATTAGCTAATCTCCAGATCTTTAGCTACATAAACCTGCTCAAGCCTCAGTTGTGTATCTTAACATGCATTATGCAGCTACTTCAGTCTGCAGTAGCTTAACATTTCTTATATTTCTTTGCACACAGGCTGCTGCAAATACAAAAAGATTCCTTTCACTTCCTAAAAACACTAAACTCCCAGAGAAACTACGAGTGAGAAATAAAACATCTTCCAGAGGTAATGAAAATTTTTTTGCTGTCTCTTTTGCCTGTGTAGAAGGCAAGATTTTCCAGGGATGACGTAGAGAAATCAGCATATTAATTTTCAAATGTACATGTTTTCATTCTAGTGTTAATACCTTAATAGCATATTTCCAGGTTTTGGATGTTTAGCAGGTGGCTTAGAACATTAAAAGTGATTGGTTCTAAACCAGGTATTTGAGTGTAGAGAAACACCCAGCAAGAGTCATGTGGGGCTTTCTTGGTTCAAATGCTGTAGTGGTGTAGTGCTCCCAGCACATCTCCTCATGTGAGCAAACAGCAGCCTGACACATTTCTGCACCAGAAACAGTGACATGGCTCATTCTCCTTGTCTCTATTCCATAATGTCCAGATCTCCTTTCTGGATTATAGGCTTATTTGGTTTCTTTTCTCACAGATGTCAGGGTAAAGGACAGTGCTTCTGAGAACCAAACCAGAGAGGAAAATGAGGACATGAAATCTGGTTTATAGTTCTCATGAAGAACTTCTCAAAATGCTGTGGTTTACTGCCAAAATATGGCTTTTTTTCTGCCTAAACTCACAAATGTTTGATATTTGAGTTCTTGAATTCTAATAAAAAAAAATAAAAAATGTTAAGACAACCATTTGATGTGAAAACTTTGCCCAATTTTATATATTACTTTTGATTATTACTGGTTGCATTACCATGCTTATACCTTCCTCACTTCCTCAAGATTTTTTCCTTTCATGACAACCAACCATCAAGATCTCTTGCTAGGAAGATTAAATCTCTGCACAGTCTCTAAAATTTCCCGATCTCCACCCCAATAGTTTCCACTTTTCAAAATTAATTGAGCAATAAACCATGCTTTTGTCTGTTAGTAATTATATCTTTGCTTTCCTCAATGTAGGATGCCTTTTATTCTGTAGTTATGTCTGCAGAGGTCACCTACTGTCACCTAGAATTAAAGAGAAAATGTGCCTCCAGATTATTCAATTGTCAAAAAATACATTATTTGACATATTTAGGGGGGGAAAAGCCTGAAAACACAGTCTGACAAAGACCCTCCTTGATATATAATTATCTGGGTGAATGGACAATTATGTGGTGATATATTTTTTTGACCTCTTCCTCACCTTTCCAAAAGAAATAAAATGTAGGCTACTAGTGGAAGATGTTCTCGTGACAGTTGCACAATACACAAGTCTTTGCTATACTTAAAACATCATAGCTGACTTAAGTCTAAGAATAAATCTGAGGCAGTCATAAATGATTATTAAAATTAATATCAAATGACGGGAGTGTGCAAGTTTTGATGAAGATGTTTATCAATTTAAAATAAGTCTGCTGCGGAAAACATGTACATGTGCACATCCAGAAAGTTGCCAGCTTGGTTTACCCAACCAATAGTGGTCATTTAAGAGCATTCCCTGAATGCTTAATGATTATGACAGCTTTCCTTTGACCATTTTCTACCCTGCTGTAAGGAGGTGAAGGAGTCTGCAGCACTTTCAACTTGTGAGATTTGCCCTGTAGATTTTCTTTGACGTAGTACATTCAGGTGTATTAAGGACGGGGTGTTTCTTCCCATCTGTACATTGACCTTGGGAGATCCTTTGCTTGGTGGAGTATAGACACTCCTTTTCCAAAGTCAACTTTCTAGAGCCCCTGTACATGTTGTGCTCTGGAAAAGCATCAGATTAGATTTAATGGGATATGAGGGTGAGAAATCTTATTTTTATATCCTGTTTGGACACATGCAGGGACTAGAACCCAAGTAGCTCAGAGAGAGACGTGTTCTTCCATGTCCAGAGCCAGAACTGGGGAAATGTCATCTCAAACAGGGGGGGAACTTCGTGATTAAGAAGCAGCTGAGTGAGGGCTTTCTAAAGAGCACAGTTTTGAGGGGAGGGATATTTGTAAGTAAAATCTATCCTCTGTCCTGGCAGAGTTAAGTGTCTATTACCAGTCTAATCAGAAAGCACTAAATTTAGGAAACATGGGGAATCTTTCTTCTGTGGCTGCTAGTACTCAGTGTACTGTTTTTCAAATATTCCTGGAACAGTAATATTCTGCACCTAAAATACTAATTTTGTTTTCAATTAACAGTGGGTGACAGCAGTGACTCTGAGATGGATGCTGCTACCACAGTGCTCAATCTAAGACCCAGAGCAGGGAAAATCTTGAGAGACCAGAGACTGAGACAGCAGAGGCCACTGCCTGAGTTTAGGGTGGAGTGGAAGAACGAAGTTGACGGGAACCGGGATGGCCAAGGAGAGCAGCAGGAGCCAAGTGCCTTACCTCAGCCATCCATTGGGTTCAGGCAGCCACTGCTGACAAGACCAAGATTTGGCACTTTGAGTGGGGAAGATTTGACTGCAGACCATGAGTCAGCAAGACCTATGCCACCACCACGGTTAGTTAGGCAGGCATCGCAAGGGGAGAAGCAGAGAAACAAGCCTGAGAACCAGATGTACTGAACATGGCAAAAAGAAAACTATTGGTAATAGACCATGGATGTATTGAATTAGGATTCTATCTGATCAGACTATGGGATCCATTAGAAAAGAAAAAAGGCTCAATATGGATCTAACCACTTCCATTGGGTAAAGTCAATGCCATCAACTAAGTGAAAGCAGTACTGGAGCAACTGCAGAGCTGAAGATACAAAAAAAAAATTATCTCTTTTATGAATAACTTACATCAATGCTTTAATTACTTTATTTCCACTATTAAGACAGGATGGAAATGTGCCTTATCACATCGTCTCTTGTGGAACCGAGTCATGCTGTTCAATACCCAGTTATCCATTGAAAATTATTGTTGAAAGTCTGGTAATGAATGGATTCTTAAAAAAATTTTGAATCATTTCAGATTTTATTTATAATCAAATAATACTTTTTTTAACCAGAGCTTTATTATGAGTAACACTGAAAACTGCACATTGCACCTATCGTATAGACTTTGTAAGAAGAATAAATATATTCCTGAAGTGCAGTTTGTTTGAAGAGCTGTGATGGAGCAAAAGAGGAAGAGAACGAATAAGCTGTAGGAGCAGAACTGCAAATACAGTTTATAGAAAAGAGTTGTAACAGAGACAAGACCTGAATAGCTTGAATTTTTACTTTCTGAATTTTTGGCAATATGTTACCTTTGAAAGGTACCGAGGATCACCAAGGAAATCTGAATTACCTTGACTTTCAGTAATGTCAACAAGAGCTGAGAGCACCTAGCAGAAGCCCTAAAAAGAGGAACCTTCAAGCAGATAAATAATGTACTTATTAAAAACAGCTTTTTGCACCTTATTTTCTTGGTTGCAGTGCAAGCACAGCAGTAGAATAGTTGCAGAGCATTGCATGTAGACAAAGCGAGCAGTCTGAGTCAGGGACCACTGAGGCTCAAGAAAGCTCATTCACTCATGCTTGTGACCCTGGTCAACTTGTTTTACTTTTTGTTTCCTTATCTGTAAAAGGGGAAAGATAATATTTTCTTTGTCTGAGCTATGCACTCCAAGGAACGAAAATGTTCCATCTGATTTGTTTGTACAGAAAAGTAGCACAGCGGGGCCCTGGAATCAGTTGAAGTCACTGAGCACCTTAATAAAGCCTGTAAGAAACATTGACTTCTTCATCCTAGTGTAAATGGCTGCCATTTGAGTGCATATGAGAAGGGAGGCTGCATTAAAATAAATGATACTTCACTGTAGCTCTCAGGAATTTGCACTTTCTGTCCCACTTAATCTGTCTTAAGTTTTGAGCTTGCTTTAGCACAGATACACATTTCAGCACAATGCAGAAATAATTTTCATTCTACTTGTTACAAGATTGATAACTTTCATTGAAGAATGTACACTGTGAAATCATAACTTTTCTTTTTCATTAGCACATTTCTAAATCTGTGGGCAGTAAGATTCTTTTTTTTTTATTTTTATTTAAGCTTGTTTTGAAATAACTATTAAAAATCAGAATTTCATTTTTAAAGGATAAATTTCATTTTTAAAGGATAGATTTCTTTCAAAGATTTGTGGGTGGGGTTGATGACTTAGTTTTATAAATGTGGGTTTAAGACTTTCCTTCTTCTAAAAGCTTTTCCAGAATATTTATTTCATGTATGTATTTGAAATGTCAAACCTTCCTAAACTCTTTTATTGGCACAGGTCTTCTAGTCTTTTTCCTCCGTTCCAGCTGTAGATGTTTCTGCTGTGTGTCAAACGCAAAGTCTAAGCTGCAGAGGGATGGCTATGTGAACCCTTGAAATCTCAGTCAAATGTTCATGTCTATTTTCAACAAATGATTTTTGTAGAAGGTAATGTTCATCTCCTGTTTGGAAATAAAACTGGGTTCAAACAAAGCCAACAAGCTTTAAAATCAAATATTTTTACATTTGCCTTTCAACAGGAAAATACATTTCATCAGTAGAATTGTCAGCGAGTACTCTGTCACTGCATTATCAGGATTATCTTATTTTCTGAATAAGAAAAAACCCTTGAGTTTGGATTTCAGTTTTGAAACTGTGTCCTCTGTGCACATCAGACTGTTTAGATGTTTTATATCAGGCCCATCCGAAATCTGACCAAATAAATGTATAATGTTGCACATCAACATTTAGCTTACTCCCTGTGGAGTTTTCTCATTCATGTTCTGGTAATGACCAAATGACTGGCTTGTATCTGGGGAAAGCTGCCTTTTTATAAATGGTTGTCATTTTTTATGGCATGATTTTAAATAATTAATGTAGGTTTGAGCAACCTCATTGCTTTGCTGGTTGTCCATTAGTACAGTGCATGCTCAGATCACTGTTACTTGAAGTGAGTGCTCCATAGTACAAGCACATCAAATTGGAGGTCGTTTTTATGAAAGACGGTCTTAAGTTCCTGGAGCTTCAAAACACACTAGCACATTGTTACCTTTACAAAGCACTTGGAGATTCACAGAATACAAGTATTGAGGCAGATCTCCAGCATAGTCATACAGTGAAGCAGAATTACAAATCTCCTGTGATTCTGTCTCCTTGCAAATATTCTCTCCCTTCCTTACTCCTGCCTCTCCCACCCTTTTCAGGCTCTTTTCCACTACTACTGGGTCAGACCGTCATCACCTCTGAGAGCTGCTTTCCTGGGTGTTCTCCTTTTCAGTAGCAATGACAGCAGCAGGTGACACATACTGTGTCCCAGGTCACCCTCTGCATTCAACTCTCGCTGAGGTTTGAGTCAGAGATTTGCCTTTTCCTATCCTGCAAAAGAAAAAACAAGATCAATAGCACTTTCTGATCTTTCTAAAAGCCCATCTAACTTCAGCTTGCAGAGACTTCCTTTCTGTTGTGTTAATGCAAGTTCGTCTGCTGAAGAACGAAATGCCAAATAAATCTGTCCTCGAGCACCATCTGATGGGGAAAGTCGTGTATTGACTGGAAACGTGTATTTCACTTTTTCAGAAAACCGCATCTCCAGCAGTGACTGGGAAACTTGCCAAATCCACATACAATTTTTTTGTTACCAGATGGACTCGCCAGTAGAATCATAGAATCATAGAGTAGTTAGGGTTGGATAGGACCTTAAGATCACCTAGTTCCAACCCCCCTGCCAAGGCAGGGACACCTCACACTAAACCAAGTCACCCAAAGCTCTGTCCAACCTGGCCTTGAACACCATCAGGGTTGGAGCATTCACGACTTCCTTGGACAACCCATTCCAGTGCCTCACCACCCTCACTGTAAAGAACTTCTTCCGTATACCTAACCTGAACTTCCCCTGTTTAAGTTTGAAGCCATTACCCCTTCTCCTACCACTACAGTCCCTAATGAAGAGTCCCTCCCCAGCATCCTGGAAGGCTGCTATGAGGTCTCCACGCAGCCTTCTCTTCTCCAGGCTGAACAGCCCCAACTTTCTTGGCCTGTCTTCATACGGGAGGTGCTCCAGCCCTCTAATCATCCTCGTGGCTTCCTCTGGACTTGCTCCAACACCTCCATGACCTTTTTATGTTGAGGACACCAGAACTGTACACAATACTCCAAGTGAGGTCTCACAAGAGCAGAGTAGAGGGGCAGGATCACCTCCTTTGACCTGCTGGTCACGCTTCTTGTGATGCAGCCCAGGACACTCTGTAGTATTGATATTTTATTGCCTTTTTAAGGAAGCACAATGCCCAATTTTCCAGTGTTAGGTGCAGTAGGAAAATATATGTTACAGTCTGAATGAGGTTTTTCTAAGAATTTCTTTCACCCTTCGGCTGCTGAAAGGCTTTTAAATTGAAAGTAAAGAGTGAATATACCTAAGAAAGTAGGTATAGCAAGGCCTACAGATTAGATAGACATCCAGTTATCTGTTTTAAGCAGATATTTGAAAGAGAATATGAAAATAACCTGCCATAAAAGGTAAAATTTTAAAGGCTTTCCTACTTGGTACTAAAGTATGTTGCAAACTCCACTGAAACCACAGGTGTTCAACAAAAGAAATCTATGCTGCATAGCAATTTAGAAACTTGATATTCTTCTCCACTGAAGCCACATAGAAATCACATGGAGAAACGAAGTTTAAAATTTGGACAAAATGACATGCATGCTGTTCTGAAGGGTATCTTGGCATCTCTGGGAGCATACACACTGCACACTGCGCTGCCTTTTTCAAGAGATGCCAAGTCCACCAAATCCAGACACCAGAAACGTTTTAAGGCTGACACTGCAAGAAATGCTTCAGCTGGTCACTATTTCCAAAATTGTCTAAGTTCTACCAACATCCCCCAAATCCTGAAGAAAAGATGAAGGATTTTGAAATTGGCTGGAGGAATGCTTTTTTATTACAAGAGCTCTGATCCTATAAAAATAGGCTTGTGAATGTGCTTAAAGCATGGCATCTGCAATACACAGCCCCAGCCAGGCCAGCAATAGATTGAAGGCTCAGGCCAGAAAACATGATGGAGGGGGTATCAAGCCCAAGCATGAGAAGGAGAAATTGCTTCAGGACACAGTACACAGAGGTCGTGGACTACCCAGTTCAAGTTCTGTTTAAATCAGGGAGAGATTTATCCCTCTCAGATGCTATCCCTCATTTTAGCAGAGTCATCCCACCATGTTTCCATCATGGCATCTATATAATAGTTTTCCACAGCTGCATGATGGCTTCCAGCTCCTCCCATTTGTTGCCTGTGCTGCATTCATTGGTGTAGATGCAATTCAGTTGGGCTATGGATCCTGCCACTTTTTTGTGGGGAGAAGCCCGAATTGCTATGTGACCATTCTCAGGCACTTTGTGGTTTCTGACACATCAACAACCCTCGTGTCTTTGCTGTCACATGGCTCTCCATCCCCTACCTCCACTGAGAGAGCAGACCAAAGGACGTTGCTGGCACATTGTCCCTCAAGCATTGGTATGGTGCCCCCAGGCCTGTCTCTAGTGAGCCTGGTTTTATCCTTTTCCCCCGTCAAATGTAGTTTAAAGCTCTTTCCATGAGCCCTGCAAACTCCTGTGCAAAGATCCTGTCCCCCTTTGAGGCAGGGATACCCCAGCCTTCACCGGGCCTGCTGTTGTGTAAACTGACCCGTGATCAAAACCCCCCAAATCCTGCTTGTGACAGCAGGCTTGGAGCCAGGTATAGATCTGATGGCTCTTCCTGTTTCTTCCATCATCATTCCCTGCAACTGGAAGCATAGAAGAGAACACTATTTGTGCTCCTGAACCTTTAACCTGTTGTGCCAACGCCATGAAGTCTTCTTGATTGACCTCAGACTTCTTGTTGCAAGTCTTCATTGCTCCCTACCTGAAAAATCTGATAATAATCTGAGGGCTGTACTGAGGTAGGAAGCTTTCTCATCTCATCTTTAATCTGGGTTCCAGGGAGACAGCAGACTTCCCCAAGAAGTGGATTGGTCTGAATATTGAGTCTCCCATTCCCTTCAGAAGGGAGTCTCCTATGACAATGACCCATCTTTCCTTTATGGGAGCAGCGTGTAGGCTGACTTAATGTCAGTGACACCTCCACGCTAGATGAACCATTGTCATCATTTCTTGGTTCCACTTGTGGAGCCTCATACCTATTGTGAAAGGGCACCTGGGAAAGGGGGCAGTCACAGAGGAGATGCGCCTGCTGCACTTTGCAGGAACTTGTCGCCATTGCCCCCTATCCCTTTATGTCACTGTGTTCAGCCAGGTAGAGAAAAAAGAGGCAATCCTCTGCATCATGTGTCCTGCCTGGCTGTTGGGCCTGTCTCAGGGAAGGTAGGGTGTGATTCCAACAGTCTCCCTGTCTCTCTTGTTCCCCCTGATACCCCTCAACCTACTCACCTCCTCCTGCAGCTGTAAGGAGTAGTCACTACATGGAGGAGTTCCTGTACCTGTCACACCTCCCATAGGTGTGCTCACTCCTGCCATCTGTTAGTGCCGTAGAGTACACACCGCAGCCAGGAACCTGCAGTTCCCACCAGAGCACTGCCCAGGGAGCTCTGTTAGTTGTGGTGGGTGCAGAGCTCAGAGGCCATAGCTTTTTACCGGGTTGATACCGTTGCTCCCTGGCAGAGATTCAGCTGCCACCCAAACTGCTGCACTACACCTTTGTTGACAGGCCATGGACTGTTTGCCCACCCTGTGGGTGGTGCACCTTCTCACTGGTGCTCCCTATGGGCTTCTTCTGTATGTGTAGGGGGCCTGGCCACCATTGCCCTTGGCCCTGCCCAGGTCCCTGAGGCAATCTCTACAAACTTTCATTTTTATAAGAAAGAAGTCTGAGCTCTACTCACAATCATTTGATTATCAAAGTTCAGGCTCTATTATACTCCTTGCAAGATTCATGATCAGCTCTTTGTCAGTCTTTACAATTCTAGAAATAACAGTACAGTTGAGTCATGGGTTTTCAAATCCCAAGGTGCCAAGATATAAAGCATCGCTTACCAATGGGTAATTTCACCTGTGATGAAATGGGGGTCTGGCAACACCTGAACATACCCACAGAGGTTCCCATCAGCTGGAATGCAGCGGCATTATGGATTGCCTGAAGTTACGAGCAAACCAGTTAGTAAAAAACACTTGTCCTGTTTTGTTGCTGCGTTATCTGTTCACTAATGAACCTGTTCTCAGAAAACAAGAATGGTACTGACCTCTGTGATGGTGCTATGGAGAGGAAATTCAGAGAAAACAGGACAAGACACCGAAATCTGCAGAATTGGTGTGTTTATAAAGGATTTCTTCAAAGGTATGCAGCATACACCAACACGGAATAAACCTTACATTTGGTTAATCATTTAAAAGCAACAAAATCAGTACATATCATATGCTACCAGCTGTTTTACAGAAATAAATTATTACATTGTATCCACAGCCTCTTCAACATCAGTTGATCATAAAGGTCAGAAAAGTAATCACTGGTAAAAAAGTGGAAATTTCCAAAGGTAAAAGGCAAAAATAACCCCAACAAGCCCAAGAAAACCAACCCAAAACTAACACAAACAGCAAGAAAGAGAAAAACCTTCATTTGCAGTGATTTGCAGGTAGAAACATTTTTCTTTAGTCCATGTTCAGATCTGTTTTGTTCCAGTTTTCAAATACTACTGGATTCAAGAAACTGCTGAGTAATTCATTAAAGCCCACTAGACTGTAGCAAAAAATAGCTGCAACTGCTCCTCCCTCAACTTAAAAGGGGAAGTCACGTCTCCTCGTCTCCAGGGATGTCATTTACTCATCACTCTCAGAACTTGCACAGTTATGGCAACAAAGAGGCAGCACAAGGGATCCAAACAGGCACTAGAACAGTAGTTTCAAGTATTTTGTCTCAAAACTGGTAAGTTCTCTATTTTCTCTCTTTTCTTCTATTTCATATATTGTCAAACCACTTCTTGGTTGAATCCTTGACTCTTATGCCTTTTATATGAAAAGCAGGCAGATACAAATGATCATTTGAAGGACCAGCTTGAAGAAAAAAAATAAAACATCTGCATTTCATATTGACTTGGGCTGTAGTTTCAGCAAAGGACGGGACAACAGAGACAAAATGACAGATGTGGAATGTCACTTCATTTTATTTCTATTCCTTAAAAAAATATATAAGAAAAAAAAAAAAGTAGTGGCAACCTCTCTGTAACTGAAGCTTAACAGAGAAGAAATGTTTCTGCAGCACTTCAGAAATCATTTTGGCCTACAAGAAAAAACTTCTCTTCTGTAACGTCAGTGGCAACATGCCCCTGAGACCAGCCTTCCATAGATTTCTTAATTTGATTATTTAATTCCATTTTAATTTGCTTATCTGGAGAACCGCTTTTTCAAAATAAACCAAAAATATTTGCAGATTGCGAAAAGCACATTTTTCACTTGTGTATAAACAAAACCAGTGAAATTTTGAAGGTTTTATAAGCAATATTCAGGCTGCTGTATATGATAGGATAAACTGAATTTTATGGTGTTTATAGAATTCAGCTTTAATCACTGCAGCAACTTATAAGGGTAAATGTTAGGTTACCTCATATAACCAACAAATGTAAGAAAAACTACTCTTTCATATACATTATTTTTGGAAGGTTTTTTTCCTATCCTTCTCCTTTACCCCTCACTATAGTTGCAAAACAGAAGCCCCTGACTTACAGAAAGGTGGATTTAGGTAAAAAATAAAAAAATAAAAAAAAAAAAAAAAAAGAAAAGAAAAAAGAAAAAACGAAAAGAAAGAAAATAGGAAAATTAGGACTAGAATGTTCTGGGGCATCTATCAAACAAGACAGGAGGAAGTAAGGCGCTTGAAAATGCCTCACATTCCTAGGGGAAATGAAACACAGATTATTACAATAAGGAACTCTGAGGATATGTACTAAAATCACAGCATTAATAAGACATACTCGTTATGTCAATATATACAATTAAAACAACTCAGAGTTCTATATGTAGCCCCAAGGTGCTGCCACTGGTTTCACTGAGGTTTCAAGAAGGTTTTAAGTGATAACAGGTACTGGAAAAGGTAAAGAAAATAAAAATTAAAAAATGCAAAACACCATCTATGACTGTCCTAAAGCAGCAACATTATTTGCATGGATGTGTTTAAGGACATAACTAATTTTAGTTTAATAAAACAAAACCAAAACCCCCCGAAATTACACACAGTTGACCTTGTACTTTCATTGAGTAATATTAGGGAAAGCATACGGAATGTTGTCAGTGCAAAATACATTTTTTTGTATGTTTCAAATGAAATGCAAACAGTGGTGACTGGCAAGTAATATGAGCTTGAACAGTAAACACAGGAGACAGTGCTACAACTCATTGTATAGCTCTGAGAGTAACCTCTCATTAGTTAAGTGGTGCAGACAAATGAAGACCACAATACCAACAAATACACAGTTTTTCCTCGTCACTGAAATGTCACTTATGCCTCCAGAGATGAGAGAAAATGCACTCATGAAGATCCACAAACTACTGCTAGTTGATCCAGCACACCTTTAATAGTCATAGCAAATTTATTCTTTTAAGGTAGAAAAACTGCACAGAAAATACTAACAATTAATTTATGATAAAGTTGTTCAGTAGAAGTTATTACTAAACAGAAACCACCAGTTCAAGTTTCAATAAAGCTTACATTTGGTCTCAGTTTCAGTTTGAATGACACTGTATTATTCTAAAATTATCCATTTTAGGCCTTCTAGTGTATGAAGTTAGCATATACCCAATTCTGTTACCTGGTAAAGACCAGGCATCAGCAGGGGTCGGATGGCCACCCCAAGGTGCCTAATCATGCTGAGCAGCAAGTTTTGTAGAACAAGTATGCTTAACAAAATCACATAAACAAACATGCTGTTAATTAAGCTACTGTCATGGCAGACAAATGGCAGCAGACCACAGCATAAGAAATTAAGGCTAACGAGCTGTATTACAAGTTCTCCTTCTGATTAAATAATAAAACATTGTCTCTGAGTAAATAATAAGGATCAATTTCTGTCTTCTAATAATCTATCAATAAAAACACTGTTTCAAATGTGAGCTACAAGCAGGATTTGTGTATTTCACGTCATTCATTTTTTTCCCTCCAAAAAGGTTAAAAAACCGTAAAGAAATCCCAGACAGTACTATACAGCAACACCTGTCCCCCTCACAAGTGTTGTAGTGGTACTAGTTAGAATAAAAGTTGTCTAGATTTAACATTCCTGCAGCAGAAATATTTGTAAGCAGTTGCCTCCATGTGAATATAATGTGCCCTCTTAAAAGATCCTGTTACTACTGTACAAGTCTGGCAAGTGTTAAGCACCACCTCAGGTTGATCCACTTTGCCTCTCCTCTGAGGTACATCTATGCAATCCAAATTTGCAACTATTGATTTTTTAACTTCACATTTCCATGGCTACAGTATTTTTGTTTGTTTGCATTCATTATCAAAATAGCTGCTAAAGCTAGTCCAACCCCTAGACTTGGAGGGCCACAGGGACTGAACTCCTGAGCAATTCCAGAAAGGAGTGGGGCAAGTATACGTCCAACTGATGTCACAGACTGTCCAACGCCCAGAAGCGTACCGCTGGCCTCATTCCCACCAATGGTCAACTCAAGATCAATGATACAAGTACGACCTATAGTAGTTGAAAAGGCTAAGAATGTGGAAGACAAAATGACCATCCATACGCTCTGCGCTGAAGCATACAGGAGAATCAACGTGCAGGTAAGAGTGCTAGAGTGCAACAAAATTCTGTATGTGTTGTGTTGATAGAGTCTTGTTATTGGTCCGAGCAGACAACCAGCCAGGACTCCAAGTGCACTGCTATAGCTCATTAGGTATCCAGCGAACAAGGGTTTCAGCCCAAATCTCTCCTCCAAGGCCAGGCTAAAATTACTGTAGTACAGCAGTATAGCAACAGACATCAGCAACCGCACTAAAAATATATCCCACAGATCAGAGCATGCAATTCCTTTAATCCTTTTCAGCACTGTTGTAACTTGGATCCATGGAGACTGGAAAAGACCATCGCTTGCCATAGCTCCATTAGTTGCTGATTTCAAGTGCAGGTTGTGATTTGCTTTTGTCGAGAAGCTGTCTGTTCCTTTTTTGCCTTGTTGATGTTCCCTATTGCCAGTGTTTTCTTCACTCCAGGGTAACATCCAGACAAGACCTATACAGATCAAGAAATTAGTTGATTTTATTCAATTGCATTAACTTCACATGGAAGACATTAGCTTGATTGTAACCATGTACTTAGTGTAAAGATCAAAATTTAAAAATTACTTAATAATTTCACTTTAAAAATTTTCAAAGATTAAGTCTAGTGTTTTTCACGGTATCAGTTCTATTTAAATGCAGTGAAAGCAAGGAAGGAAAACACCGAGATGCCACACTCACAACATATAAACAAATCTAAAGGCTAAAGATGATTTCTAGTCTTCATCTTTGGGCATATTAAAAATTCCTTTTCCTGTGTCTCAATGTAAAAATGGTATACATAATACAAAGGAGAAGCACCTGGAGGTTAACTGTTTCAAAACTACCACCATTCCACACAGGTTCAAATTCAAAGGGTAGTACTGGTAGACAGAACATGTATGCCATAGATGATGAACACCCTATGAATCCAAGGTATTAGAAATAGCATAAAAACGCAAAAGTGAAGAACGAAGGTATCCAAAATGCAAAATACGTCACACAACTTACCAGCATTCAGAAGGAAGATGGAGGCACAGAGGAAGGATGTTTGATAAAAGCCATCTTCCAGCTCTGTAAGGTAGCCACCAACAACAGGCCCCAGAATGAAGCCCACACTAGAGGCTGCATTGAAGCGTCCCATCACTAAAGGGCGGTCTCGCTCAGAAACCAAGTCGGAAAGCAGGGCTTTAGAGATGGACAGTGTATGTTTGAAGATACCTGCAATGTAATATAAACAAAATAATAAACATGTATTGCTCAGTCGAAAAGATTAAAAATTACAGATGCTATCTGCAATATCAATGGTCAAAATCTACATGATTGGTATTTTTAAAACTCCATTAACCATACATTCTTCAATGCTAGTCATGCAGCCGTCATCCTGGCTGTTCAAGGATTTGGCTTAGGTAATTTTGATCAAGGCAATCAGTTCAGACCTCTGGTCAAAGTTATGCTCCTACAGCCCTGCTGAAAGAAGACTTAACTAAGCTGAGTGTTGAAGCACAGTAGGAACAAAATGGTCACTACAATAGGAACTTGTGGGTGAGTAAAGGTGAGGTAGGAACAGCTTGTCTGAGTATGAACATAGCTCTGTACCAGCTTTGCCGAGTACGAAGATTTCCAGGATTGCAATACACCAAATTTCTATGGGAAACTGGTGGGTGGTAAAAGAAGGGCACAGAAGGGTATGCAGACTGCAGGAATATTAATAATGCCATTTTTTACGCTCCTTCCCTCTGACCAGGGAAATGCTGTCACCGTCACAGTGCTACTAGGATTTAAAAGTATTATTTCTACTGATTAGTCAAATATCAACTAAATAATTCATTAGCAAATTGTCTTTAAATTAAGAAACAAGATTAACAGCTCCTAAATCAAAACTATGGGCCATAAAAGTGGCCTTTAGTAGATGTGTTCATAGTAATAGCAATGCTTATTATATCAGAATATATGCAATAGGTGTTCAGTTATTTTAAGAACTCTGAAATGAACCCTGGCACAAACTTAGCTTCAGTGCCACAAACATACACACTTTTGCACAACATAAATATTCTGCTGAAGCAGTGACCTAAAAGTTCAGCCAAATTTTGTAATGTCATTTTGAGGTATATTTTCAGCAAGAGAAAAAACAGCAACACATGTATCATTCTATTCTCTACTACAAATGCAGGCCAAGATTTCCAGCAGTTACCTGGTATGTTGTGTACCTGTTATGACTAAACTTACAATAGCCTCTTTCAAAGTATTGCTATATTCCTCATATAATTCAGCCATTCAAGGTGGCATAAAAGTTGTGACAGTTGTTGAGTATACAATTGTCCTGGTTTCAGTTGCATAGAGTTAATTTTCTTCCTAGTAGCTGGTACAGTGCTGTGTTTTGGATCTAGGAAGAGAATTATGTTGATAACACATTGATGTTTTAGCTTACACTAAGTAAAGGACTCTTCAGCTTTTCAGCCCACCCTGGGTGCCCCTCAGTGAGTAGGCTGAGGGACCCAAGAAGTTAGGAGGGCACACAGCCAGGACAGCTGACCACAACTGCCCAAAGGGATATTCCATACCATGTGATGTCACTCAGGATATAAACTAGGAGGAAAGCTGGCTAGGGACTACTGCTCATGAACTGGCTGGGCACCAGTCGGTGGGCTGTGAGCAACTGCAGTGTGCATGACTTGATTTGTATATTATTTGTATATTATTACTATTGTATATTATTATGTAATATTATGTAACATTGTAATATTATGTAATAGTGTATATTATTACTATTTTCCTTCCTTTTCAGTCCTATTAAACTATCTTCATCTCAACCCAAAAATTTTACATTCCCCTGCACCCCAATTTTCTCCCCATCCCACTGTGTGTGTGAGTGGCTGAGTGGTGTTTAGCTGCCTGCTGGGTTAAACCACAACAACATTTCAAATTACTTTCAGGAAAATATCATGAGAATGATTGATTTGTAGAGATTTTTCCATTACTAAGGTTCAGCTGGTGCTGCTGGGTGATGATATTATGTAGCTATCTACATACCATGTTTTCTGTAGTAGTAATTCTCAAGCTGAGACTATGGGGAATTTAAACTGCAAAATGCCAAGTGTTTACTCACCTACAGGGACCCTAGAAATTGCAAACAGGAACACAGTGGTGGATGCTCCAAGAAGGAAGTAACCCAGTGCACTGAGAAGAATACAAGCAAGCAGGGAATACTGTCTTCCTACTATATCACTCCAGCAGCCCTTTCACAAATCAAGAAATTAAGATTAGCTTTTTAAAACATTTAACTATGTACAGTGAACAACCAATACTTCTAAATTAAACTGAGAAAAGAGATGAAAGGACTATCAATGAAAGCTTAATAAGCTTATAACACAACATTCCTAAGTGCTTAAATTCCTGAAGTCACAAGCAGAGTTCTGCCCTGCTGGCAGTGCACCTGCTGAAACTATGACTCCATTTAATGTCATGCATAAGGCTTTTTAAAAATTAATTTCCCTCTTTTAAAAGTACAGTCTTGTAATATACACCATGAAATACTAGTAGTAACGGCACTCTGAAAATGTTACTACAACCATCCACTAATACTTGTTTGCATCAATGGTTGCTATGTACTAGATACTTGTTGAGAATCCTAAAATGAATGATCTTAGCTGTGAGGAGTTTGTCAGCTGAGGAGAGACAGGTAGGGAGTAGTTATGAGAAGGGCAAACTGTAAATTTGCATTTAGCATGCTTATAGATCAGCTTGATTCCAAAGAGGAAACAGGTTTTTTGAGAAAGTATGCAATGGTTTTGCATTTCAAATCATAAGATCATAGACGCAAATTACTTCAGGTGGCATACGAAACAGTTTTTTCATTGAGACGCTCAAAATCTGCTCTCTTAAAAAGGCTAGGAGGTATCAAGATAATATTAAAGGTGCTCCTGGCTAAACACAGGGATCTAAGGAATTGATGGGTAAAACATGCATTCAGGAGGTTTAGTCTTTGCATTCTTGCTTAGATTAGGATGTAAAAAAATCAGCAGGTAACAGAAAACAAAACCAAACAAAACTCAAAAGATGTAATACATTAATTTAGGACATATGACAAATTACAAGGCACTGCTCATTAAGCAGGGAAACCAAATTCTATATAACAGGCTTATGAAGAGCTGACTTGTGAGACTGCTTTTTGGACAGACTACTGCACTGAGGGAAACTTCAGCTTTACTAGCACCAACACTGAAGAAGAACCCTGTGTGACTGCAACATACTCTGTAATGTATCTGAGTCCAAATGTGGATTCTAGTTTTTGACCACTGTATTCTGTTTAGTTCTGAAAAATCTGACAATTCCCTAGAAATGAAACAAGTATGTTCCATGCAAACTAAAAACTAGATCCTCCAAGCAAAAATGCTTACATGAACACTATAAACATTTTCGAAACATTGAGAAACACTATTATTAACCTTACCCTTTTTCCCCCTAAAATCCATAGAAATACCAACATGCTCAGAAATGCAGTGTTAGAACTCACCACAAACGTGCTGGAAAATAGTTGCATTATACCATAGAGAGATCCTAAAACAAACAAGTAAAATACCAATGTTAAAAATTTTTTAAGAAAATGAAAACCACAAAAAATTTTAAATGAGGAAACATGAAAGACATTCTGGGAATAATTTACTAGAATAAGAGGGAGCAGGACAAACCATGAGTAGAATTTAGCACTTAACCAAGAACTCTCATGGTTTAAGCGCAGCCAGTAACTCAGAACCTTTCTGGGTAAGAGTTTGAGAGACCTGAGCATGACATGATCATTGCTTCCACCATGGTAAGCACATAGCGCTTGCCTTGGCAGGTCAGTGGGAGTGTGATATAGTCAACCTGCCAGGCCTCCCCATACTTGTACTTCAGCCATCGTCCTCCATACCAGAGAGGCTTTAACCACGTGGCTTGCTTAATTGCAGCACGTTTCACATTCATGAATGACCTGGGCAATAGTGTCCACTGTTAAGTCCACCCCTCGATCACGAGCCCATCTATATGTTGCATTTCTGCCTTGATGGCCTGAGGTGTCATGGGCCCACCAGGTTAAAAGTAATTCACCCTTATGTTGCCAATCTAAATTCATCTGAGCCAGCTCAGTCTTAGCAGCTTGATCCACCTGTTGGTTGTTCTGACGCTCCTCAGTGGCCCAGGTCTTGGGTACATGAGCTTCTACGTGGCATACCTTCACCACCAGGTTCTGCACCCGGGCAGTGGTTATCTTGCCACAATGCCCAGATGGGTTTACCTCTGCGTTGCCAGTTACTCTGCTTCCATTGCTGCAATTACCCCCATGGGGCATTTGCTACCATGCATGAGTCAGTATAAAGTACTGGCCATTTTTCTTGTTCAGCAAAGTCTAAGGCCAGCTGGATGGCTTTCACCTCTGCAAACTGACTTGACACACCTTCTCCTTCAGCAGTTTCTGCACTTGTCTCAGGGAACTCAATACAGCTGCCTTCCCACAATACGCCAAGACCCATCAGTCAACAAGACATACTGCTTCTCACATTTTTGATGAATTGCTGCTTAAAATAATACTCAACTCAGTGTAGAACCTCAATTATTTCATGGACAGTGCTAAATTCCATCCAAAATACAAAAGGAAGGTAATAAAAAACTGAGTAACAGAGCCCATGTCAACCACACACAGCTATAAAACATGCACTTAATATCATTACAAGCCATCAACAGAGCCATAAAATATAAACAAGAACTTTAGAACCACAAAACTTATCAGTTAATTTTTAAGATAAAATCCCAAACCTTCAGAATTTACTTGTAAACACTCATAAAGACAATAAATATTTTGCCAAAAGACAGCTACAAGAAATTTAATCAAACAGGGAGCAATTGTGGGCTTTGTAAAGCTCAGGAGAACCAGATACAGAAATGCTGTTTGCAAAGCCTGTAAATAACAATAAAACTAAAAGCAATGCCTCTGGCTCCCAAAGTTGCTGAGCTGCGAATTCTTGGATGCTGAAAAAGCAACTGCACAAGTATCACTAGAAGACTTCCTTGTTTTTAACAAGAGTGCTCTTCCCCAAGCACTGTCAGTATGCAAGTTTGGACAAGTCTTTGCGTCTAACACAGTATGGCTGTTTTACTTGGAAATTGGCCTTGCTTTCTATTACGCTATTAGCAAGGAAGAATTATGTTACAATGACCAATTTGCAGTAAGGCATAATCGAGGCCACGTTATCTTATTCTTTAGTAAATCAGTCAAACACTGCAACTCACCTATTATTCCAGCAACTGTATGACTTGCTCCTAGAGATTTGATATGAAGGTTCATTAAAGGAACAACCATGCTCACACCAAATAAATCCTGAAAAGAAGGCAGGAAAAGTTTTAATAACTGATAATGTTTACAAAGATGATGGCGACCTGGCTTAGTCAATATTAAAAAAAGAAAAAAAAATTAAAATATTTCCATAGCAGTACAAGATGAAAAGAATTTTTTTCATGGCCAATGTGGTATGTTGTAACCTTTACAATACATTCAGTATGTACAAAATTACAAAAACACATAAACTGAAAGATAAAGGGTTGCCCCACAGAGGAGTTAAAACTATGGATACAGCAATCTTCTTTCCCCCTCCAGATACAGTAATTTTTAAGATATATATTTAAATATTAAATATTCCTTGAGTATGTATTAAACTTTACCTACTTAACAAGAAAAGTATTTGGTATCAGTATTTTAATTCAAAATGGTCTGTAATTTCAATCACCTACAAATAGTTTTCACTTGTGCAAAGAGAGTATTCTTGCAAGATCTACAGTATTTTAACTCTCATCCACAATGGGAAGAAGCTATGGTAGATCCAAACCTACCTACTGTCTTTGTGTATAATTTAAGAAATGTAGAGAAAAGACAGAAACATGAGGGGGGAAATAAAATAAAGCAAAGCTTAAGTCATAAATGTTTTGTAAGAGGAGGGCAAAGGTCACTGCCCATCCTGAACAGTACAAGGATCTCCTACTCAATCCTTTTGATTTTTTATCTTTTGTTAAGCTAACCACATTAACTCAGGAGTTCTTTTGCTATTATCTGGAACAGTATACAGTATTGGAGCAGAACCTTACAGATCTAGTGGAGCAAGACCACCTTTTATAAAGGACTACTTGAGCAGAACTAGACTAGGCCTTCATACATGCCCAAAGCCTGAATAACTGTAACAATGTGCATTACTAAGTAAATTTTCACAGGCTGTCATTAAGTACCTTTTGATGGTTGAAATTGAGGCTTACAAGGTTAGAATCATTATTAAATATATTAGCACCAGCGAACAAAGCACTTAACTTATGAAGATCTTCAATAACACAATCTTAGGTGTCCCATACAAACCTGAAGAGAGGTCAATGACTTCAGCCAGATCATTGATGGAAACACTTAAAAAGACAAGTCTCAGAATACACCCTGGCAGTACTGGACTTGTATAGGCATGCAAGTAGAGCAAAAGCTACTAACCACTATCCTCTGATAGGTAGTTATTTCTCATTTCACCTATAATGTCTTAGGTCAAATGATAAACACCCTGTATTTGCCTGGTTACAGGAAGCTTGCATCACAAGCAACAGCTCTTCATTATGATATTTCACCATACACTACACCCTCTAAAAGGACACTCACTTCTTGGCTGATTTCAGTGTGTACTCCAGCTTGGTGTCAGCATGTTTACTACAGAATTGGAGAACCACAGTGTTTAAATTAGCTAAGCGAAGCGAAGCTTATTCTAAAGGCACTCCTTCCTACAATATATGCTCCAGGATCCAAATCAACTACACTGTTTCTACTGCCCAGCCTAAAGGTAGACAAGGCAATTATCTACATTTCACAGTGCACGTTTGTACTCATTTTGCACTCATTTTCCAAGTCAAACATTTTAATTTTAAATTAACACTTTCCTGAGGCTCATGAATCACTACAGAATACAAGACTTCTCTAAAGCTTCCCCCCTCCCCCCGAAAAAGCATAGACATTTTTATTTATTTTAGTTTACCCCAGCCACTGGTATTTCAAGGAAACAAGGAACAGTTCTCTGACAAGCACAAGGCAAGACTTAATTTTCAAGGTGCTGCGCTACTCCACTGTATTTACAGGATGAAACCCATACCTTTGTATGCTACCAACATTAGAACTGCAAAAAGAATGCAGCTGAAAGGATGTACCTCAAACCCCAGCCGCTTGATCTGCAGTGCAGTGGGCGGGGGGGACCGTTGCCAGCCGGAGCCCGGGGTCGCCCGCGGGATTCAGCCCGGCAGCGGCAAAGGCCATGGGGAAGGGGGACTTTGGAACCCGTTCTCAGGCTTTGCAGCATCTCATGAGGGGACCTCTAGGCTCCGGAGCCGGCTACGGGCCCGTCCCTCCTGTCCCACCTCGAGCACAGCCCCTCCAG